AATAATGTTTTTGTTGAAATTGACAAAAGTAGGAAGAGCCCTGCCTGCACTATAGGCTTCTGCATCAATGTTCAAGTTCTCGTATCTCACTTCGATTGTCGGCATATCGATGCCGACTCTGCGTAAATGACATAAACAATTAACATAAGATGCAAATTTGTATATAACTCGAAAACAAAAAAAAAAATAAATAAATAAATAAAGTGTACCTGTCAATTCTGTTTCTTAGCTTTAACAAGAACTTCTCATTATCATCCTCCACAACATTAACCAGCCTGTTCACTAAATTCCTCTTGTCCTGAAACTCGAGACTGAAAACGTCGACTTCGTTCGCGCCCTTCGATCCGAGCAGAAGCCCTTTCCTGAGACGGTCGAAAGTCGGGAGCTTTTCGAGGGCGGCCCATTTGAGGGCTTCCTCGTCGTCTTCCTCACGAGCGGAACGCGAAAACGCTTCCATGCCCGTGTTTCTCCATATGTTCGAGCTGTTTGCTCTGTAACTCGTGCTGCTTCGACCGCTCGCTCGTAAGCTATTGCTAGCTTTATAAAGATCACCCGCGTCCATATTTTCGAAACAAAAACAACAAATCCTCCTAGCAGCTTAGATAAATTTACGACTCCGGTTTTTCGATTTCCTCTTTTTGTATGCTTTCTTGAATTGTGCAATGTGAGAAGCAGAACAGAGAAGAAGAACAGAGAGTTTGTGTTGAAAGATGAAGGATTTTGCAAGTGGGTTTTTATAGCCGTGTGTGTTTTTTGGTCTAGGCGGCTTTTTGAATATTATTATTCATTTGCAAATGTGTTTTTTTTTTTTTTTTTTTGGTATATTCTATTTATTTATTTATTTTTTCGAATTATTTGAGATATTTCGTTGAAGTTAGGATTATGCCACCTTCTTTGACTCTCGACAGATTTTGACATTACAGAGGAAATATGTATTGTAAAAACAAAAGTCTTGTATTACAAAGACAATAGGATTACAAAGATAATTGGAAATGCTACTGCTTCCCGTCGAGATTTGTAACCGTTAGATCATCATCTAACCTGATGTAACGGTTACATGATGACAATTACATGATGATCTAACGGTTACAAACCCCAACGGAATGATTCCGTAACGAGACTGTAGCATCTACCACAACCATAATAACATGTTTTACAGGTGGAAATATTTATGCAATATTTTATATAATTTCATAAATTATTCTTAGGGCTATATATATGCCAGTAAATTATTTGTCGTGCAAGAAATATTTGTGTTTTCACCTATAAGAATAAGGATATTTGGGCAATGTTTTTCTGACAAGGTCCTCAATAATAAATTTTCAAAGTGGGGGCTTCTAGAGGTTTTGGACTTGGAGAATTTCACCTACTAATCTAATTAAAGAGAAAGAACTTGTAGAAGGAGGATGACATGTTTGACTATACGATTAGTTAGTGATGACATTAATTTGATTTTTTATTATTAATACAAATTAATTAATACCTATGAAATGTAGGTATTCTTTTTATATTGTACGATGACCGATCTTCTAGAAACCGGCGAAAGGCTTTCGAGCACATGCACATTTATGCTTCTTATTATCAGACTCCACTTTATTTTATTAGTCCGTGGAGAGATACAATAAGAGCTGTAAATATCCCTCGAGTTTGGAGACTTCATTAATGATGAAGGTCAAATTTTTTGTTCTATGTCTAATAGGCAAAGTTTGGAGACAATGTATTAATTGCGCGTGAAGTTTTCTATTTCTTGAATAGGCGAAAAAAAAACATGGAAATCTTGCTACATGACTATTAAGTTTGATATGTCCAAGACATTTGATAGAGTTGAATGAAATAGTGTTAGACAAATCGCGATTAAGCTGAGATTTCTTGTCTCCTTTGTGAAATGGATTTTGGCCTGCTTGAACTCTGCTTCATTTTCCTTCAATATTAATGGTTCATTATTTGGTTTTTTTTTTTTTTTTTTTTTT